AGCAAAAGTGTCCTTTGTTCCTAGAGCACATTAGGAATGATGGCTTTACTTCCAATGATGTTGTTATAGTGTTTTTAACTTTTTCTACTAATGAGGAAACTGCTAGTTCCAATTTGGTAATGCATTGGTAAATGTTCCAAAAACTGCTCATAACCAGCAATACTTTCTCTGTTCTTCAAAATGTTGTTTTGAGGGGTTGTGTGGGTATTTCAATTTCCTAGTTTTTATTGTCATCTATCTATCTATCATCTACCTACCTACTTATCTATCTATATCAGGGGTCCTGAAACTTTTTAAACAGAGGGCCAGGTCACAGTCGTTCAAACTGTTGGAGGGCCGGATTAAAATTTGAAAAAAAAATAACATGAATGAATTCCTATGCACACTGCACAAATCTTATTTGTAGTTCAAAAACCACTTTAAAACAATACAATAATTAAAATGAAGAACAATTTTAACAAATATAAACTTATTAGTATTTCAATGGGAAGTGTGGGCCTGCTTTTGCTTGATGAGATAGGATTGTTGTTGTTGTTGTTGTTGTTGTGTGCTTTCAAGTCGTTTCAGACTTAGGTTGACCCTGAGCGAGCGCCGGATAAATGACCTTTGAGGGCTGCATCTGGCCCCCGGGCCATAGTTTGAGGACCCTTGCCTTAGAGGGTTGTATCCGGCCCCCAGGTCATAGTTTGAGGACGCCTGTTCTAGAGGATGGGAGCAACCACTGAGAAGGTTCTCGTGTTCTCATCAACTGAGCCTGTGATAGAAGGAAAACTGGGAGAAAATCTTCCCCTGAAGAATTTAGGGCCCTGGGAGGTTTGTCTCAGGAAAATTTGTTTTTCATATAATCCAGACCTGTGTGGACTTTAGAGGTCATAATCAGCACTTTGAATTGTGCCCAGAAATGAGCTGGTTGCCAGGGTCACTGTTTCAAGAAGAGATCTATGTGCTCTCTATAACTCAGTGATGCTTTCAGTTTCCAATGGTATTGAAAGTATGTTCCACAGGTATAGAAAGTCCAAACAGGATGAAATCAAGGCTTGTGGCACTATAGCCAGATCTGACAAGGAACAGGCATCACTGGTGCACTAGGTTTAACTGTGCAAATGCCCCCCTATGCACTATTGAAAACTGGGCATCCAAGTTAGAAGTTGTCTGGGACGTCATCCAATCTGTGTGCCAGCCTGAACCCACTAACCATGCCAAGAGGTTCTGCTATCCCCCAAAATGAACCTCACTTTCTTTCAATCACAAGTAGTCACACGGGAAGTGCTACATTCTTCTGACTGCTTTCCAAGAGCCCTGGAACACCTCCTAGAAGTGCAAAAAGGAATGTAAACAAGGTAGAACCAAGGCTACTTACCTTTTTTAATTCCTGCTGGTGCTTCCAAGAGGCATCCCAGAGTGCTTTAGAGTTCTAGCAGAGGAACTAGAGAAGCACCCCACATCCTGAACAGATGTTAGAGGTTAGTTTTTTCCAGTGTGGCAGATGTGGTGCACAGGTGGAGATACAACTCAAGGGAGCTTATAATGTGTTTTTGACAAACAAGACATTAAACATGAGGAACACAATGTGTTATTTCTCCCAAAATGGAGAATGGTAAACAGGTAGCCAGCATTTCCCATAAAGAACAAAGTACAAACTCTAAATTTGATCATACAATTTGATCATGTGGAAGTTGTTAGTACAATTCTTTTGTTTCATCAGGTTTAAGAAGTTTGCAGTAACACGGAGCTGCATTGGACCCATCTGGCTAAGCAGGAAAATCCCATTCAATCGCTCTTTTGCCAAAAAAGAGTTAAATCACTTCCTGGGAATGCAATTAATTTATAACATATGGAAAACATTGAGGCAAGTCCACAGAGAATTCGGAGCTATTTCGTAGATGCAGAGATTTTTCATAAGTAATGTAAAGGCAGGTTATCCTACAGGGTTGATAGTTAAGAAAGTGTGTTAGAGCCCTTCCTCCACAAATCCTATGTCATATGAAGCTTGTCTGAAGAATAGATGTAAGAGTTCTCACTGTGTAATGTCTTTGAAATGAAAACGATACTTATTTTTGTGTTTTATTGCCATTCTGTGTTCTGAAAAAAAATCAAAATACTTTGCTTTTAGAAGAAGAAAAACATAATGGCCATGTATAAATATGTGAGGGGAGTCATAGGGAGAAGGGAGCAAGCTTGTTTTCTGCTGCTCTGGAGACTAGGACGCGGAACAATGGCTTCAAACTACAGGAAAGGAGATTCCACCTGAACATTAGGAAGAACTTCCTGACTGTGAGAGCTGTTCACCAGCGGAACTCTCTGCCCTTGAGTGTGGTAAAGGCTACTTCTTAAGCAGAGGCTGGATGGACATCTGTCAGGGGTGCTTTGAATGCGATTTTCCTGCTTCTTGGCAGGGGTTTGGATTGGATGTCCCACAAGGTTTCTTCCAACTCTATGATTCTATGAAATGGTGCTCCCTTTCATTGAATGTGCAAAAGCAAACTGGAATGGCAATCTTTTTTCAACATGGCAATGGGGAAGTATCATACACCACACATGAAAGTAGGTTACCTTCAGGGGACTAGAGTAGGAGGCATTTCAGAGCTCTTTCCACCAATAATGTGCTGCTGTCCCACACAATATTTGTCACTGAATGTAACAAACTCATTCTGCCTCATAGGAAGGCTGCCCCTAGTCAGCTCCTTGTTCAAAGCTTGCCAAAGCTTTACAAGGGCCAAACTACATATGATGAAGCATTGGGGTTGCCATTTAGAGCATGCAATTGTTACAGTAAGTCATAGCAGGATCAAGTGTGTGTGTTAAAGAAAGATCTTATGATGTTAATGATTATGTGCAGCTGGTAATTGTAGGTCAGCCAGCATGTTTGGGTCACAGCCGGTGGGGTATAACTGTATGGATTTTAGAATACAGTTTGGAGAAGCAATATACTGTAATGCTGTTATGCTCTAACAGCCATGCTCTTTGCTATGGTGGAATAGCTATTTACTTAAGTTTTATGTTTTGCTTTCTCATTTGAATGAAGATGAAGAAGCCTTATTCTGTGTTACTTACAAGGACTATGTAAGTTTGTTGCACTGTTTTGTATGCAATACTGCAAGTTTATGTTTTGCCTCTGCTGATAAGAGTAAAGTTTTTCTGTTTAGCCCTTCAAGACTTTAGGTATTACTATGAAGTTGCAGGTTTTAGCTGGCTAAAGGAGTGGGTTAGATTAGAAAACCATGCTTTACTTAACTTAGAGGGATATCACTTTAGATTTGGATGGCATGCATAGTTATGGTATGAAAAAGATAAGGTCAAATATTTCAATAGACATACTATAAGAGCTAGCCTCTTAGCAATTTGGAAAGGATACAAGGTAAGGATGAAAAAAAAACCTATGGCTGTGTCTTCTGGAAGCACTGTTAAATCCAGTATTTAACAAGGAAACAAGAACGTATAGGGAGTACAAAAGGCCAATGGAAATGAAAAGGGAGAGAAGAGTTAGGAATAAATTATTGGTTTTGTTATTAACAGTCACATGATAAATTTATGAAAGATAATAAAGTAGGATTCCCTAAAAGAAAATAATAATTGGAGAATATTTTAGAGAAGGGAAATAAGGTATTAATTTCCAGACTATCTAAATACATTTTAGAATATAATTTAGAATATAATTGAATAAAAACAGTGATAATCTCATGGGCTAAAGATTAAGGGAAAATACTGATTTGGAGAATTGGGAATATTTATGGAAAAGAGGATTAAAATTTTCAATAGCTAGATCCATTACTAAAAATATGTTTAACATGTTCTTTCAACTTGAGATGATAGCCAAAATAGATAAACCCCATCGGGAGGAATCAGGATGCAAAATGCAGAAAAGTGCCTTCTTTCATGCCTGATGGACTTCTAGGCTGGTACAAATTATTTGGAAAAAATAAAGAAACAAACAAAATGATTATTTAAAAGGTTAAGAAAACCCCAGAAATGTGTCTCTTAGATTTATTTTGTGAAAGAATTAGTAAAGATGATGTGGAAAATTGTCAATAAAGTTTTGTTGCTGCAATACTAAACATAGCAAAATCATAGAAAGGGGGGAAAGAGTTACTTATAAAGTACTGGAGAGGTAAATTATTAGATTGTATTCAAATGGCAAAGCACTCCAATGGTATTTGAGGAGGAAATAACGAAAATGCTAGAAAAAGGAAGCTTGCATTTGGATATTTAGAAAAGAAGACACATGTAAACTTTAAAGTAGCCACAAGAGGTATTTATTAATACAAAGATAAGTGTTGTTTTTAATGAGATATTAGTTTCACACTGAGTGGTGCCAGAAATCATGAGTGGTGGTTCACAGGTGGGGGAAAGGGTGGTGGGTTTTGTGGAGTGAGGTATCTGTATTATGGGTATTTGATTTTTTTCCTTCTTTCTTTTTGCATTCTGTATATCACCTATACACAATAAAAATTACATTTGAAAATGTATCCTTGACTAATGCAAGCTTTTCATTCTTGCACTTGGTTTTAGTTCAATTTGCAATGCCATTTGTGCTCTAGAGTGTTTGCATAGCTTTTACTGCAAAGAGATCTTAGTGATGTTCAGACCCATTTTAAATGTCACAGTATGGATCGGATTTATTAAGGGTGTAGCTATAATAAGTAAAGATGGATTTTCATGGGGAAAAGGTATAGGCACAAGTCTGGCAGAGAAATGTGTGTGAAAGAATAGAAGTACATGCAAATCTATTTTCCAGTCTTAGGGGGGAGGGGGTTGCAAAGTTACTATTTTAGATAAAAACACCCAAAACCCTTTTGCCTGTATGCTGAGTGATCATCACCAATGAGGAACGTGTGGAATTTTAGTCCCCAAACCCAACTGCATCCACTTTATGTCATAAATATCAGAATAGATCTTGAAAGAAAGACAAATGCCAGAGACAAATAAAAGGAAAAAGAAACCATTAACGTCCGTCTTAAAATTTTGAGTTTTAAAAATGTTTTTCTTTACTTCTTTTTCAGGCAATACCTGTTATCACAGAAAAGGAGAAGGCTGGTGAGTCAATGACATTGCACTTCTTGATATTTCCTTTTTCTCTCTTGACCGACTTCTTATAGACTGTCAGCTTGTGGTTCCTAACAGAAAGGATGTTTCAGCAGAAGGTAGAAATTATAAACTAAAAAAATGTGATAACTTAGGAATATTTTACCTTCATAATGACCCCATTGCAGAAAAAAAGTCATAAGATCTTTGCAAAATGAACTGGATGAACAATGTTGTGAAACTTGATATGACAATGCTTTTAATGGAATATTCCTGCTTCTTAGCAGGGGGTTGGACTGGATGGCCCATGAGGTCTCTTCCAACTCTCTGATTCTATGACAAATATGGCATGATGGAAAATGGCTACATGATGAATCATTAAAAGAATAAGATGATAGATATCAGATACGAGGATCTTACTTTTTGATGTGGATCTTTCAGTTGCTTGCTCATTTTAGTGCTTTGGGAGAAAAATGCTTTATACCCATTTTTCAGGGTGGAGAGTGGCTTGATATTTTCAATCTGCATTCTTCATAAAGTTGTAAATTGTGTTATAGAGGCTTCAGGTTGTTGTAATATGTGCAAAACTCACTCATTGTATCAATGTACTGAATTTCAATGTATGTTTAAGCACAATGAACTTGGAACTTTCTTTTTTATTGACCAATATACAGTTTGGGTCCAGCCTATTTGAAGGATTGCCTTTTCCTATATTCAAGTTCTAAGATCTTTCAGAGATCCTTCTCTCTATACCACTATCTTCTGAGACTTGTTTGAGCGAAACAAGGAAGGAAGCCTTCTCACTGACTGTTCAGGGAATTCCCTCCATATGAGGCTGGGATGGCTCCATCTTAGGTCTCCTTTTGCCAGCAAATAAGTGCATTCCATTTCCATTAGGCTTTTACAACCTCATCATCCCATTATCTATGGGATTCACCATGAATCGTGGTGAATCCAGTGTGGGGTGTGGGGAACCCGTTGCCTCACACCCTGCATTGCCTTGCTTTTCCTTTACTTCATCCCCCGAGGGAAGCATCCACCATTGTTGGCTATGCAACATGGAAAGCCTCCCATGTTGCCACCATGGTGGCATATGATGCATTCACTATTCAGCTTTCCCCATTGTTGACTATGCAACATGGGAAACCTCTCACGTTGCACCACGGTGGCGTATTACGTTCCTACTCTACTTGCACCCCCACCAGAAATAGTTTGATGTCATGGGAGTTGGTGGGCTCCATGGTGCAAGTAGGATGGTCAATTTAGCCTGTCTGATGAGGTCCTTCCAAACTGGCAATGATCTTGTAATGGTATGGTGTGCTGTCAATGTTACTTTTGTTGATCCACTCTTTAGACTGTTCTAAATTATACCCTGCCTTGTGTGTATGCTCTGATCTTTTAATCACATGCTGTTTTTCCCCCTCTCAGTCAACCCAGTGCACTGGTTTTTCCCCCTCTCGGTTGACCTGGCACAGTTTTTCTTTTCCCTCATTTGACTCAGTGCTGTCTTGTATTCACCCTTGCATTTGCAAGCTAAAAGAAGATTGTGTTCTGCCTTTCAACCATTTCCACTTCAACCCATCAAACAAGTGAAAGATGCTTGTATTTTTTTATTTTTAAAAAAGGTTTAACTGTACAGATTTCTAAATATTTTTTAAAAAATAATTTATTCATATTTTATATGGTTTTTGATATGTATTGCATTACATAATTTTAAGAAAATGTACAATATAAACGAATCAAATAATAATGTTATTAGTAAGAGAATTTTGGCCTAGTTTAATTGAACTTCAATGTGGAGGGGAAGTGGATCTATCCATTGCATCTGCTTGTTGCTACAGCTCTACATTTAGGCCTTCTTGAGACACTCGTGTTAATAATAATAATAATAATAATAACACTTTATTTGTACCCCGCAACCATCTCCCCAAGAGACTTGGTGTGGCTTACATGAGGCCGAGCCCAAATACAACAATACAGACAATAATCAACAGTGCAAGCAATTAAAAATAAAAAAACATAGACAATAAAAATATACAACATTATCAATAAGACAACACACATGCTTATAATGTTTTACTGGAGAAAATCCAAAAGACATATACTCACTCACTCCTTCCCCTACCTGCTCCAAATGTGTTCATGTGTTGCTTATCACAGTCTCTTCAACATGGAATCAGGAGAACATCTAGCCTCATCACCTCAGTTGTCCCTTTGCTCATCTGAAAAAGGACATGGCTGAAGAAGAAAGATTCCTGTTCATGTGATAATGCTCTATGGGAACATGAAACCTGGTAAAACAAGGATCTTGCTTGTATGGAAATCTTCCATACCAACAGGAACTTCTCCTCTTCAGACACATTATATTATACATGGAGATATGACATTAGAGGAGGTATGGTCAGGTGTTCTCTAGTTACTGCATTGAAGACACTGATGAATAATGCCTATCCAAGGCTCTTGGAATTCTACTGGATTTCTTGCACATAAACCCTTTGAAAATGCTACATTGTGCATAGATGTCTAGACAATGCAGAAACAATGCAAGGGAGTAAACAGCCAAGATTATCCTTTTATATAATGTGTATACTATATAACACTCTTAACTCTGTCCTCATAAGATCTCAGTTGAGCCTTCTGAAGTGGTTCAGGTACTCACATTCCTTTCCCCATCATACCATAATTGGATGATTACCCAACTTTTGTGCATGGTTTTCTCCATTCAGGGATGCTGAAATGGCTCTCCTAAGGCTATGTTATTTACAGTAAGGGCAAAACTATGCTGATAATTTGGCCCTGTCTGTTGCTGGAATGCACCTCCTAAGAATGTCTCTGAAATGGAGTTTGGTCCTCAGGCTAAAATATTTTCTTTAGAAATATAGGAAATTGCTGTGCAGCAAGAATATTGCTTTTGCAGCCCTCAGCTGCTCTAAGTTCTCCAAACTTCCCTTTTTCCAACTTCTCTACTCCCAGGATGATATGTCACTCTTAAAGTTCTCCAGGGTCGATGCACAGAAGTGCTGCTGTCACCACCACCGCATGCACGTCCAGGTTTTTTTCAAAACCAGCAGTAGACATCTGGCCAAATGGTCCTTAACTTCTGGGTCCATCACAGTTTCCCATCACTGCTCCGAATTCATAGAAGGTTGGGTGAATGGTACCAGAGAGTGTGTTATACAGATGATTAGTTTCTTGACAGTTGTTGATTTGCAGGGGTTTTATTGTTAGAGCCACAAAGAGCATTTAACTGCCATAACTGTAGACAAATCTGTTATTTAATAAGTTTTCATGGCCCAAGCTACATCAAATGATAGTTATCTTACCTTATCAGACAGGTGAAATGAAATGAAATGGGGGTGTAGAGAGAAAGGAAAAAGTAGTGAGGTCTTAGGGAAATGAAATGCAAATCAACTGATCTATTTGATCCTCAAGTGCTATAGGTTTGAGTTTTGATTGCAGATCTTTCAGATATTTCTGAAATGACATATATTAAATCCATGTTAAATCCATATTTAGTTATCATTGGGCCTCCAGTTAGTCATTCTTTTAAAAAGGAGGTTGTTAGATGGTTGCAGTAAAATGACAATGACTTGTTTTGCTGCAACGAATACTAAGAGATTTATGTTAGTTATCAACAACAACTCTGTTGTCAATGGTTCATATTTTTTCTTTTCATTTTGTACTTTCTGCATTCTATTTACAACCCCAGAAATTCTGTACATATTATGCTTTAAAAGAGGATAAGACTTGACTTACTTAGTTACTTACTTAGGCGATCCCTTGTAGTCCGAGGATGATGGTCCGCCAAGATCGGTGTACTGGCGGTGGGTCCGTAGGTCACTGTGGAGCCCTATTCTTGACCTGCATGTCCTCCTGCAGTGAGGGCATTGGTTTCCAGGTGGAAGGCGGTCCCGGTCGGAGTTGGCTTGATGCACCTTCCTCTTGGCACATTTCTCTCTTTCACCCTCCATTCGTGCCTCTTCAAATTCTACAGCACTGCTGGTAACAGCTGACCTCCAGCTGGAGTGCTCAAGGGCCAGGGCTTCCCAGTTTTCAGTGTCTATGCCAGAGTCTTTAAGGTTGGCTTTGAGCCCATCTTTAAATCTCTTTTCCTGTCCTACAACATTCGGTTTTCCGTTCTTGAGTTCAGAATAGAGCAACTGCTTTGGGAGATAGTGGTCGGACATCCGGACAACATGGCCAGTCCAGCGGAGTTGTTGGCAGGGGACCATTGCTTCAATGCTGGTGGTCTTTGCTTCTTCCAGCACACTGACATTTGTCCGCTTGTCTTCCCAAGAGATTTGTAGGATTTTTTGGAGGCAGCGCTGTTGAAATCGTTCCAGGAGTTGCATGTGACGTCTGACAAGCATATGATAAAAAGGATAATCATCCATGTACATTAATGTCATAACTTTATTTTAGTTTTTTATGGTATCACAACTTCAAGTGGTTATGAACATCTTAAATTCTGTTGATTTTCATGGATCAGTTCGAAGCATGAGGAAATCTGAGTATGATAGAATCTACCATAGGTTTAATTCACTGTATTGGTTCAGGCCATAGACAGTGCAAATAAATGTCTTCATAAGTTATAATTTGTAGCTTTTCTGCTTGTCACTTTTCCATGACATATTTAATTTCTATTCAAAATTAGTATTTTATATACAAATTATAAAGAAAATTGGATGTTAACTATAAGGAACTTAACTTTGTATTTCATCTGAAGAAGTGTGTTTATACACACAAAAGCTCATGTAAATATAAAAACCAATTAGTCCTAAAGGTGCTCCATATTTCTTGTTCTTCCCCTTATCCCATCCTTCCTCCTTTTTACACTAAGAGTCTAACACAGATTCTTTGCTGAGAGGTTCTTCCAGCCTCTGGCATTGTATGATCTTCACTGAGTCACCACATGGGGAGAGGAACTGAAGAAGACTATAAAGTGACTGAGTGATGACAAGATGGGTCAGGCTCTCAGTGTATAAGCTCTCAGCAGGAAAACCTTTTTAAAA